GGGGCTCTTGAACTGATCTGCCCTTGGACTTGCTGGAGGGAACGTTGAACCTCTGAGGGAGGGTGCCAGTTCATTCGGACATGATAGAAATTCCATCCTTCCAGGTCCTCAGAGACTCCGTCCTGGTATTTATTCCCTCAGTCTCCTCAGCCTTTCCTCTCCAGCATCCTGTTTGCTAAGTTAGCCTTCCAACAGACAGAGTCTAACTGTGGAGCAGGCCAAGGGCTTCTCTCCCCTTCTGTCTGTCCCACTTACTCCCATCTCCACCCCATCCCACCCTCCACCCCGGGAGACTCACATAGAAATGCAGATACCCTTCTAGAGGGCTAAGGGTCGGATCTTCCCAGCAACCCCAGAGGTAGTGGGACAAATTAAAAAAAAAAAAAAAAGCCAAAGTGCTTTCTTGAGCTAATCACAATGGTTGGTATCACCAAAGCAGCCTTACCCATCTCAGGTTTGGGAGTCTAGGACAAGCCCCCTTCACAACTCCCACCCTCACAGGTGTGGCCATGACAAACAAGCTTTCCCCATGAAGCAGGAGCTCTTAACTCTTGGCCATGTCCACCTGCTATTGGGTAAGGGGCATTCCTGCTGCAGACCAAGGAGGACGGGGGAAGAAGGCACAAATCCGGGCGGGGTTGCATTGTGGGTGCCAATCTCAGTGCTCTCAACTTGGTTATTATGAAAATAAAAGGAAGAGGAAAAGGATATTCCTGGACTCACTGATACTATTGTGCCTCGTTGCCAGGGGCCCCCAGACTCTCTCAGAATCCACAGACTCTTCCATATAAAGAAAATGATGTCCACCAGTATATTGTGAGAAAGCACCTGAACTAAGAAGGTAAGCATCCTAGGACCCAACTGCCCAAGATTCAGCATCTTGGTCCTCCACATGTCCTATAACACAAACGTCAGTTTACTCTGAAGAAACAGTATGCCAAGCAAAATAAGAAAGAGGCCACAGAATATACTAAGCTTTTGGCCAAGAGAATGAAAGAAGCCAAAGAAAAACACCAGGAGCAGATTGTCAAGAGATGGAGGTTGTCCTCTCTTCAGAGAGCTTCTCTCTTGGGGCCTGAGTCCAGCCAAAATGGAGAGTTTTCCAAAACAAATCAACAAGATCAGACATCAACAAGGATGATTCCTTGGGTCATCATGGGGAAGAACAGCAGATGAGATGTAAATGAGTAAGAACATAGCCCCTGGCACCAGGGAAGGAACGGTTCTGGAAGCTGGGACTGAGAGTGACAGTGAAGCTCGGAACAGAAAGGAAACACATGAGATCAAAACCAATCCCACAGTTCCACCCAAGGCTGGTCCTGCCCACCATGCCCCCAGAGGAGTGGTCCCGTGAGAAGAGGAGCAAAATTAACGTGCCCTCCTTGCCTCCATTCTTTCTCTTCCAGGCCTGTTGGAGGTGGACCCTCTGCTAGATCATCCTGAGATCCTAAAAGAGCCAAGGCGAGGCCCCCTGTTTCTTCAGGGACCTGATGTGTTTTCAGGACTGGACATCTCATGGGTCAGGTACGTGGGAATTCAGCAAATGCATACAGCAAGCCAGTCCTTTGCGACCACCTGAGTCCTCTGCAGGGTTCTAAGCGCAGCTGGCAGTAAGAGGAGGATGTGAATTGAGAAGCTGTGGGAAGTTATGCCCCTTCCCACCCAGCCGGCCCCAACACACACAAACCCTTCAAGATATCACTCTTTCCAGATTTCACCAAAATCCACAACTAGAGATTCTTTCCTTGGGTTTCACATTTACATTGTCCTGAGTGATCTATTATAAACCGTGAACACCCCTTCAGGGGCTGAGAGAGAGCTCGGTACTCCACATATGCTGTGCTCTGAGATCCAGCACAAATGGAAGAGTTGCTTTAATCACATTATTTGTCTTCCTGGACTGGCGGTAGGTGGTGTTAAGTGACAATAGGGGCTGAAAAAGTGACTTCTCATCCAGCTTCTTCTCCCAGAAGCCATTTTGATAGGTGATTCAAATTCACCTGGGCTTGGCTATTGACCCATGTGATCCATTCTCCCTTGGTGGTCCTCAGTCTCCCTCCCTAACCTTCACAGAACATTCTAGATTGCTCTTCCTCCTACCTCCCTCATGAAGCCTGTGATTCCTTCCCTTCATTCTCTTCTCTTCTGCCTTCTCTCAATCCTTGACCTGCGTCTTCAAAGTCTAGGCTCCAGTCCTGGTGGAACCCTGAAAATACAGTATTATTGTCGTATTTTTTTTTAAACAGGTTACTGTGGGCCTGTGGGAAGAGGGGATGAGTAGGATGGTGAGGTGGTTATGCACAGACTCCTAGTCATCCAAGATTCTGAGAATGGGGGAGATGGGCTCAGAAATCTGGGAGGTAGTGGCCAAGTCCCTGCAATCCTTTCTCTGAGCAATAAGAGCAGGCTTTCCTGAATGGAGAATTTTCTCTCCCCACACCCCCCGCCCGTCCTCCCCCGTAGGACTGTTCAAAGGCACTCCCCCAAGGAGGGGAAAAAGGGAAATATAAACTTAACACCTTATGCTTCTTATAGCTGTTGTACTTCCAGCTTTTTCCCATGCATTATCTTACTTGATCCTCAAATCCCCACAGCTGTGGAGACAGGCCCGGGGAGGTTAGGCAGCTCGTTCTGAGAAACAAAGCTGGCTAAATGGCAAAGCCAGGGCTGGACCCCGGCTCTCCCAATTCTTGTCCTGTGCTCTCCACCACACCACACACATTTGCTTGAGCCGTCAGGCAAGATCCTTTGGAAAGCAGCCCAGCCCCTTTTCTCTTTGTTGATACAAATCATGTTCAGATCTTTGGTTTCTAAAAGAGATGGAAAATTGAAAAGGAGAAGGTGGAAACTACAAACAAATGAAAGACCCCATTAACAGCCCTCTAGAAAAGTGAATTGACAACACAGAACTATGTCTGGAATGGAAGTAAAGTTTCCGTTTAGTTTTGCGCTGTCGATGAGGGCTTCCAGACATTGGAACTCCAAACATCTCCTAGTTGTGCTCTGGTGAAAGCCTCAAGTTACAATTAAGAAAGTATGGGTCTCTTTCTTCATTATTATTATGGAGCAAAGATCTGACCTGACCTAAAACAGGATCTGCTTACACAGAAGGGAGAAATAGACTGCCGGGTAGGTTGGGAAAAAAAAGAAAGAAAGAAAAAGAAATCACTCCAATTTATTAGAATCACGTTCAGGAGAAGGCGAACGGTTCCCCAGTTTGGACAGTTAGCTCGTGCTATTCAGGAATATTTTATGAAAACGGCCAAGCCCCTGGTTTTCCTTTCTTCTATGTTTTGCTAACCACAATATGAACATTTCAATGGTGTTCACAGCCCACCCCCCTTCCTGCTGGTAGAGATTCATGTGTCTGGGCTTCTGGGAAACTCCATTATCTGGGACAGAGTCGTAACCCTGGATGTACTTGGGAAAAGTGACTGGACAGTAAAGCAAATCGTCCTCCCCACTCCAGTTCACTTTTCTCACTGGAAGAGTTCTGTGGCTCCTCTTACTACATGTTCTTCACAGTTCCCCTAATCATCATTAAAAAGTTAAAATGTTTTTGAAAGCAGAAATAGTTTTGCAGCAGGATTGGTTTTCCCACAGCTGACACATTAATGTTAATTATGGGCATTGCCTGGGAGCAGTTTCCTTTATATATATATTATTTTGGGCAGTATGTTTTTTTAATGTCTGTGAAAAATGGTACCTAATTTGTCAACACCTAACCAGTGATTATGCTCATTATCAGAACAACTTTGTGTCCCCATTCATGCCAGATAAATGGGGGACAATGTTGTACTTGACATACGGGGCTGAGGACTGCTCCCCCCCACCCCCACCGCACTCGCCCCTGGGGTGGCTGGGTATCTGTGCCCTCCCCTAACATCCCACTCAGGCCTTCCTGCCTGACCCTGGGGAGGCTCTCACAGCATCTCCTTTCTCCCTGTCATTGTCTTGGACTGCTGCCCAATCCCCGATCCCCACCTGCACGGCCTTAAGGCTGAAACCAAGACTGGAGATCAGCCAAGGCAGCAAGGCCAGCTGATCTTTGGGGAGTGGAGTGGATCCTGGGAACGAAAGTATGTTCATTTAAATTATTAACAGCTCCAATAAAATGCCAGATGGGCTACAAGATCAAAACCAATGACTTGAATGTGGTTTATATCTTATCAGCTCATTGAAGTGCCCTACAATATACTTGCTTTGCTGTCACAGAAAGCACGACTGTATTGAAGCTAGTTGGCTTAATGCTAAGAGGTGATTTATTTGTGTTCGATGAAGACCAAACAGCCACTATCAGGTCTAAGCTGTTAAGCCCTAGCAGGCAAGTTCTGCTGACCTTCTTGAGACAAGGGAGAATATATCAAAAAGTGTGCACCTATAGCTTTACCCATCACTGGCTGAGATTGCTCAGCTGAAGCACTGTCCCTCCCACTCATGACTTATGCTATTTGATGGCTTTTCTCTTTTCATAAGCCACATGTTTGAGACTTGCAAAGGTGGCTTCTAAAAATTAACTTTGATAATAGCTAATAGCGATGGGCATGAGAGGTTTTTTTAAGTGTAGCCTGAAAAACTGCTTCCGTGGGAGAGCCTCATTTAGCATTGTGATATCTCAAGGTGCTTCAGAATTAAGGGGGGAAAAAAGAACTTTTGAAACCCTTGAAAAAACGACCCATTTAGCCATATCAACCTTTCCTTCCCCCACAATCACCTCTACCATGTTGGAATTGAATATACAGATATAAACACCATAACAACCCAACCCTCAAATCTAAACATCATTTCCAAAAGCAAATAGGATTCTTTTTCTACATAGTACCTGGTCTCAAGGCTGGCATCTCTGAGATAAGAGTCTTAGGTTATTGCTTCAACAACATTTATTACCTGCCTCTGACATTCCCCAGGTTACAGAGGAGGCAAACGTCTGAGCCTCGTGTTCCACACAAGAAGCAGACAGCTGCGGTAAAAACTGAATCCACACGGGGCGGGGGGGGGGGGGGGGGGGGCATTTGCAGGTACGGAGGGGATACACCCAGCCATGGTTACCCACATCAGAAGACGGCAGAGCTGCTCAAAATCGGGCAAGTTACCTTTGGGATGAGAACTGGATGCAAGAAAGCCATACAGTTGGGGTCATAAGCCTTCCCCTGCCCTTGAGCTTCCCTCCCCCTTCAGTCCCCATTCAGTCCATTCTAGCCCACAGACCGGTCCTAGTGTCCTGCGAGCTCCCTGCGGCAAGAGGGAGGGAGGAGAAAGATGTCTGAGGTCTCTTGATTTTCTTTGTCTTGGTCCCTAAGGCAACAAGAAGCTGGAGCTGCTGTGGCCTGCCTGGCAGCGATGGCAAGCCCGCTGGCTCTGCAGAGCGAGCAGTCCCTGGCAGGCCCTGGAGCAGCTGCCCGTTAGACGGACCAGAGTTCTGATGGACTTCATGGCTTCCCTTCAATGCCAGGTGTTGGACGTTGTGGATTCAGTTTCCCAGAGGGCTGGAGCGTGCTGTCAGGGCTGTCTGAAGACAAGAGAGCAGAGGCAGTTTAGTGCAGTTGGGTGTGGGGGGCGGGGCGGGGGGAAGGAATAGGGGGTGGAGAGAGGAGGGAGAGGAGGGAGAAACCTGGCTGGGCTGGGTAAGGGGGTGCTTCTTCCAGAGCCTGTCAGACAAGGTCTGCGGGCCTTTCCTTGTCTGGGCCTCGGGTGAGGCGGCGCCTGGAAGGGAAGGAAAGGAGCAGGCGGGCGCCGCGCCCGAGGTGGACGCGGCAGCTGAAGAGGGCGCGCGCGCGAGGGGCAAGCGGGGCGGCGGGTCTAGACCCCCTCCGTGCCCGTGGCCGGGGTGGTAGGCGCCTCGGGGGCGAGCTGGCGGCGGCCGGCGGCCGGCGAGCCGGCTGCAGTCTCGGCGTCGGCGGCGGCCCACTCGTGCGCCGCGCAGGCCTGGGACGGCTCGTCCTTGGCCTCGACGAGCTTGCGGGAGCGGGTGTAGGCCAGGATGAGGCCTCCGGCCAAGCAGGCGTAGAAGATCATGATGAGCAGGATGTAGAGATAGGCGTCGTCGCCCTTGGCGCTGGTCGCCTCGCGGCCTACGAACGGGTCGGGCACGACCCCCATGCCCATGCTCGGGCCGGGGCCGGCGCCCAGACCGCTGGCGTTGCCCCGGTGGTGCAGCTCGAGCAGCAGGCGGCTGAGGAGGGTGCGCAGCCGCTGGCTCTCGCTGCAGTTCATGGCTGTCGGGGAGGGGCACGGCGGCTCCAGGACGCTGCTGACCTTTCCCCCGAGGCGAGGGGAAGCGGGCAAGAGGCGGCGGCGGCGGCACCCGGCTCCCGGGCGGGCAGTGGCTGGGGGCGCGGGCAGCGCGGGCCTCCTTATCCCCTCACCCCCGCCCTCCTCCCCTTCCCCACCACGCCCCCTCCGGCCCGAGGCCGCCTCTTCCCAGGCTCCGGCTGTCTGGGCGCTCCGGGGAAAGGGGACAGCTGGTGGGGGGAGGAGAAGGGGACAAGGGAGGGGGCGAGGCCCCCGGAGGGGCGGACGGGCGGGGGCGCGGAATGCGCTAGGCCCCAGGCAGCGGAGGCTGGCAGGGCAGCTCGCCGGGGCCAAGCCTGGACCCTGGGCTGCGGAAGAGAATTCCTTCCAAGTTCTGGCCACCTGCCCTTGCAGGCCCGGCTTTGGCCCAGAGACAGCATCTGGCCCCCCAAGACAAGCCCTGCCCCCCGGGGTTTCCATCTGCACTGCCTGTCCATAACGGGGCCGCCAAGGCCGCCTGTCCACGTCCTATGGCAACTGCTCCCACAGACAAGGACCCTGGCCTATCTTTCCAGCCCGTTCTCCTCCGCGCCCCCCCCCCCCCCCCGCGCCCAGGACCAGAGCATCTCATTCCGAAGATGCTCAGGACAAATTGGGTGGCTGAAGCAGAGTACGACTCCCTGGTCTCCCAGAAGGGGGCTGACATACACCGGCCTCCTTGGAAGGACCCCTGCCCCGACCTCCTATCCCATTTTTAGAGAGGCCTACACATCTTAGCATGTGACTATACCTTCCACGATGTGACCCTGTTTCCCGCCAGCAAGCCCTCTTCCCAGAAATGAAACCAAGTTCTTCCATTAAAAGGAACACAGACATTAAAAAGGCCCTTGGATGACAGTCTCTAGATGTATCAGGATGTGAAAAGTGCGTCTTCTAGAGAATACGCACACCTGCTTTCTCTGCATCCGGTTAGGCCCTCCGGCCCCCAGCCCTGAGCCCCTCCAGGCCTAGGCCCTGCCGGCTTGTTGTGAGGCAGCCATTTTTCCCCCAGAGGTATCTTCTTTTAGGGGAAAGCGAGGCACTGAGACCAATAGCCTGGGCTTCACCAAGGAAACATACCCAAAGGATTGATTTGTAGACAGTGAGTAGGAAAAAAAAATCAACAACAGGACATCGTGCAGATCAGGTCTGGTTACCGAGTGAGAATAGAAGGAATGAAAAAAGAATATGTCTTTATGCACGCCTTGAGAAACAAGCTGCCTGTTTGAGACAGTTTGATCCAGCAGCCATTCAGTCTGCAGGTGCCATGGGTCAAAAAAGGAGGCCTTTTGGGTGCCTCTGCCCCAGCTGCCCTTCAGAGAATGCAGGCTTCTGCATCTTGGGGTGAGATTGGCACACTGGGGAACTATATCCTGGGTCTCAAACAGAGCCTCGCTTAATAGCTTCTACCCAGGTCTCAGAGGCATTCCACGTAGCCCTGAACACTGACTCCCTCCCAACCACCTTACCTCAAGGTCCTCAACTCCAACGGGCTCAGGAAAGAATTGTTAAAGTGACTTGGCATGAATGCCAGAGGACACAACTAGAAAATTCTCAAAACAGTATCAAACCAGGGACAGGACTAAAAACCTAAAAGACTTCGGTTACCTATTACATCATGCCCGGAAATCTCTAGGGCTTAGGGGTCTGGGGGTGAGGAAGAAGCCCCTTCGCTGTCACATAAAAGTCATCATTTAAATTTCTGTTGTACTTTCAACAGCCTTATGGACTAATATAGGATTATTCCCATTTTCAGAAGAGTAAAGGAGTTCAAGTAGTTAAGTAGCGGGACTAGCATGATAAAGTTTAACCTTGTTCTTCTCAGTCCTAACACATTATTCTTGTCACATGGATGGTATCCATGAACTGCCTCCATTTTTTCACCTCTCCCTGCTGTGGAACCTTCTAGAATCTGGCACATTTTGCCAAACCGCTCTCTATAAGTTCACTAACGACCTCCTGACCAAATTCAAGGGTCTCTGCTCAGTTTGCATCTCTGACCTCAAGGATGAATTTGATACTATCAACCACCCACTCCTTCCTGTAAGTGTCCTACCCTTGGCTCTCATGGCATTGTAGTCTCAAGTTTCTCTTCTTATCTCTCTGAGCCATCATTCTCTGTCTCCTTTGCTGGCTCCTCTTCTTTCCTTTCCTCCTCCCGTTAACTGTTGGAATCCCTGAAGACTCAGTCCTCAGCTTTTCTCTCTTAACATCCATTTCCTTGGAAAGCTTCTCCTTACATGGTTTCACAGACCACCTGACGTGTATGTAGCCAAATCTGAATCTCTAGCTCTGATTCTTTCTCAGATCCACCCCCTCCTTCCTTTCTGGTTTTGCTACCATAAGCTTAACCCAAGCCCTCATTACCTCAGGTCAAATAGGCCAACTGCAGAGTGTTCTGGCAGATCTCCCTGACTGTAACCCAATCCGCCCTGCTCTGGCTAGAATACAGATCTTCCTCGACTAACAATGAGGTTATGTCCCAATAAACCCAACGTAAGTTGAAAAGACCTTAAATCGAAAATGCACTTATTATACCTAACCTGTAACACAGCTTAGCCTAGCCTATGGTAGACATGCTCAAAATTCTTCCATTAGCCTCCGGTTGGGCAAAGTCATCTAACACAAAGCCTATTTGATAATGAAGTGTTGAATGTCTCGTGTAACTTACTGAATACTGTGCTGAAAACAGAATGGCTGTGAGTGTATTGGTTATTAATGAGAGTGAATCAGAACACGTACAGCCAGTCCGGGAAGAGATCCAAATTCAAAACAATTTCAAGTACACTTTCTAAGAACATGTATTGCTTTTGTACTATTGCAACGTCAAAGAATTATTAGTCAAGCCATCCTAAGTCAGAGACTGTCTGTCATTGTCTTCCAACACCGCTTCTGCCAATTCCCTTCTATGTTCAGAAACCCAGAGTCACTTCCTTTTGCTTCTTTAATGAAATCCAATCTTTTTGGCTGGGCCTGAGGTCCTCACCAGCTGTGGACTCCATCTCCTCCCCTTGAATTTGAAGAACAGCTTATTTTGAAAAGCAAAACCCTGCAAATAACCAGAAATCTTACAATAAGAGCTAAAACAATTATATAAATATATACAAAGCTAACTCTAATTCCATTAAATGAAATAATTGCTAGAGAGAGAACACGTTACTAATTTACAGAAGACTGGCATGGTGGGGCAGGAGATGTGGAGAAGGGGGTGGAATCAGGAATGGAGACTAGTCATAAAATTTTAAAAGGCCCAACCCTCAGCAAAAAAACAACAGGTGTATGTGTGGGGATTCTGGCTTTCTTTTCACTCAAGGGGCTGCTGGGCATCCCTTCAAATCCCAGTCCCAGGCCAGCCCTGAATGGCTGAGATGCCAACCCCATTTCCCCACCACACTTAATGAAACTACATCAGACAAGGATTCAGTCTCATTCCTCCCCACCCTTCCACCCCACCCTGCCCCCAAACCTGCCTCCATACCTGTCACATAATCATCTGTTTATCCATCCTAGTCTAGAACTCACTTACTTCCTGGATGGTAATCAAGTGTGTCGACAAAGGGAAGTAATTTATAATCATGTATTTAGACTTTCAAAAAGTCTCGGAAAAGGTTCTGTCCCATGCCAAGTTTGTTTTAAAAGTACAATTGAGGCGCCATGGGCTAGGAAATGCTCTCGCCATTCCTTGAGACTGTGAGTGCTTCCTGCCAATAGTGCAGCTCCATGGAAGTTGGTTGAATTGAACCAGAGTCGAATTTGGCTCCTGGCCAAGGGACAGGCGCAGATGGTAAGCACTGTTGGAGTCCAGAAGGCTGGCAGACCCACAGTGGGCTCTGAGGAAGGGGCAGAAAGGAGGCTTCATGAAGCACGAAGTCCAGACCAAGAAGGAATCATTCATTCGTTCATTCATTCCACAACTATTGATTGCATGTTTCGCTGGGCAGGGTGCTGTGCTGGGTCCTACAGACACATGGGTCAAAGAGTTATCCTGGTGAACTGTCTGTGGCTTCATGACTCTCACAGCCACTTGGGGAGCTGCAAAAAAGCAGGGAGTGAAAGGATCCAGAATGCATAGTGAGTTCTGTTTTGGAGAGAATGTGGACCCTGGACCCACACTTGAAACACTAGAGTCCAAAGCCTTGTTTGAAGGAGATACCTGGTGGTCTGAATTTACTGTTATGGCAACCCACCCTACCCCTTCCCACTCCTCCAGGGCAGGTGCATTCTCAAAAGAGGGAGGAGAACAAATGAGAAATTTCCTGGGTCCAACTGAGGCTTCTCAGTTGTTCCATAAGAAAATGTGTGGTGTTTGGGAGGGGGAGTTGGCTGGAATTTGATAAAGGTCACAATATTTATGGGCTGGAACGAGCCTGAGGGACTTTAAGTGCCTACTTTAGAGACTTTGAGACATCTCGGCGGGCTTGTGCTGAGGACATACTCTATCGAAGTCACAAACCCGAGCATCAGATGCGGTTCTCTGATCCTCGTGGATTGAATGCTTAACATGTGCTGGGCAGATTCCATGTGTTATGTTCATTAACCTTACAGCAACCCTGCGAGGCGGGTAGGGGTGACATCACACATATTTACCAGCAGCAGGTCTCGGGCACTGGCCATGCAGAATAGACTAGAATTCGGAACAGACACTGGCTGTAAATGACCAGTTTAGCCTCACAGAGCCACAATCTAGTGGAACAAAGAAGTAAGAGAAGGGCATAGACTAAACAGCTTCCTCTTTCCCAGAAGACGGGAAGGAGGAGAATCTCATCTCCTCGCCACTGCCTGGGTCATTGTGCACCTCCCTCCCCTCCATGCACGCTTCCATCTGTTCTCTCTGCTCATTGTATGTACATGAAAAGCTCCCTCGCCTGCCAACCCCTCTAAAGCAATGATATCTGTTGCAGCTGCCCCTTTTCTCCCAGCGATTTTCCAAGGATGTCACTCGTTGGCTTAAAATTCTTGAATGGGCCCCATTGGATCGCCAAATTATCACCTTAGTGCAGCCTTCCAGACTCTCTGCTCTGGCTTG